AAGTTTTCAATCGTTACTTACAAAACAAACGGAGGAATTTACTAAGACGAGAAAAACACGGCGGACGCGATTATAGTAAATACACGAACTATTTATCGTTAATTGCTTGTTCAATATTAAATAGTTGGTAAAAAAGCGAAACTTTTTTTTTCTTCTTCTCTTTGTTTAACTTGGCCGGCTTTTATCGCGTCACGAGGCATCCATCAATCATATAACTGTACATACACGATGATAAGGTAATTGCATATTCACGATTTGCATTAAGTTAATAATACGCGTTTGTGTACGATCGACGATGGTAGAAATGAAAGCACTCTGGACGACTATGTCTTTAAGTAGCGATGCGATTATCGAGCGATACGACGCTAGGTGGCTAAATATTCGAGTGCTAGGAGAGTAGCGCGCGCATGGGGGCAAGGGAGTGAGGCGCGGCAATCGGTGGGCACGGCCCTGGTGCCGGGTCCCGTAGCGGTGGGCATGCCTGCGGAAGATGGAAGGCGCACGAGCCGAATAATTTAGTTGCTTTCAATCGGCCTTAAAGCGAAGATCGGCTCGTCGCCGATCACCGTGCGCGTACACAAGACAGAGTTAGAGCCACCGGCTTGTCGTACGGATCGCGCCGAGAATGAAATTCTTTCCTTGCCTGGTCGAATACAGCAGTAGCAGCAGCAGTGACTGTATCTCGTCGTGTAGTAGTCTCGACAGTAGAAGAAAACGGCTGGAACATTTATGGCCGAAGTACAACGACGGAAGTAATACCGGCGGCTGTATCGTTTGAACGGATTTCTTTTCTCCTTACGATACAATTTCCACGCGTTTTCCTCGGCACAGGCGTGACGAAGGAAATCGACGCCGTTTCTTCTTTCGGTTTTTTTCTTTTTTCACCCCCCTCCTCGTTCTGCGTTTTTCGTTTATACACAGTTTTTGCTCAGTGTGTTCGCTTGATAACTTGGCTCTCGCTCTCGCGTGGCTCGTCCGTCATTTGAGACGGGGCCAAACGAAAATCTACTGTAGACAACGCCATACAGAAGATAAAACAGGCGGGACGCGTCTTGGTTATATTGGTTTAGTTTTTAGCGCGAGATTTAAACTCGCGCCAAAGTGTGTTCCACAGTGGATACTATCTACCGTTTGAGTTACAGCTCTAAGTGGCCAACAGGTTAGTACAGTGCAAGTTACTTTCTTTTTACCTTTTTCTCGTTCCCGTTTGTCGAATTTCCGAGTGCCGTGTTCGAAGTGTTCATAGTTAATGAACGGTTAACGCTCGCATCGGAAATAAATCGCTCGCGGTTGTGTGAAGTTTCTTGTTCGATTTTGACAGTTCTACGCGAACGCCGCCACTCGTGACCGGTTCGAGTCAGAATTTCCTTGCTTCTTCCGTCGTTCGTAGGGCGGATAAAAATTTCAAATATGCAGATTTGTCTCGTCAAAATGTTACATCGGAAATTCTGCCAAATCGTTCGATATGCCATAGATTTGTTTAGAGTATTTCGAAACTCGGGTCCACGATTTTACGTATAAATATCGATGAGACAGTTGTTCCGCGAGAGATTGAAATTCCTCGAAAATTTTCTAGTAACTTGGAAAGAAGGAATTCTTTCTTTGGCAGTTGGCCGGTCTGTTCGAATATATATCCTGCCTCTTATAAATAGAATTCGATATAACTTGATTCTCGTCGCGTATGTATCCGCCTCTCGGTTATTAGTCGGTTTGGCGCCAAAATTTTTCCTGTTTGATTTGACACGCGCAATTCTCAATTACGGCAGTTAACGTTAAATAATTGAATAAACGCGAGGTGTTGGATCTGGAAATATCGTCGAAATCGACATTTCTGATATTTCTATACTAATCTGTCAAAAACCGATGTTTCAACATGCATTTATTCAAAGATAATTGACAAAATTTCTATTTTCGTCAGTAATTTTCTCAAACTTTTTTTTTTTTTTTTGTTACGTTTTCTTTAACCCTTGACCAACTTTTCGACATATCAAAAATTAATTTTCAGTTTCATTCTCAAGCCCTTTTACATTATCGGGAATAATTTCAAAATATATAACAAAATATGCATCTCTTTGCATCTAATTTTTCATTAGTGGAACTCTAATGCACGGAATTTCGAAAATTGCCTCACTGTTCGATTTATAGCCGCGCACCGGGTATCATCGATACGACCAAGTAATATTCGATGTATGTCGAAAATATGTCAAGTGGAGATACGCACGCTAACCGATATGTTGCACATTCTATCGCAACGTCGTGCAACACGTCAATACAACACGGCGCGGCGTCCTCGCGTGTCCCTGGTTTTCACGAAAAAATCGTGTACGCTTCCTCACTGCACGGAACGTTTTGTGAAACAAAGAAATGAAAGATGTGCTCGTTTTTTTTTTTTTTTTTTTTTTCATTTTCGCTTTTGCCACCGGTGTTGCGTCCCGCGTCCTTTTCGTCCCACGAAGAAAGCCACCGTTAATTAGAGTGCGGTAGGAAAGCTGTCAGCTCGTTACACGCTTGAACGATAATGTTCGACGGAAGTTAGCCAGACACACGCGGAACACTTACACACACACACACACACACACACACACACACCGTTACCTACATCTAAAACTGCTGCCGGTGGACTGGTTTCTCTGTTTCTCTTGGCACGTGTGTAGGCTGAAAAGTTCGATCCATGG